GGAGAACACTATAGTCCTAAGATAAGCAACCATGTAAGATTTATGACGCAAAATACTATCTTCAAGGTGAATGTATCTATAGAAGAATGTGTACTTCTGCACGCAAACCATTTGTAAAAAGGGTATAAAAAACCCTCTGAAAAAGGGAACCGGTGGGATCCTTACTTGGGACGCGAGTCTGCAGGTCCCCGGGCCCTGAATAAAGCACCGCATAAACTGACACTCTGTTAGTTTGTGTTTTATTTGGGGTTTCGGGCAGCAGTAGCTTATATATGATTGATAACTTGAATTCAGCAGGCAATCAAGCAGCAACCACACTCCTCTTGCAGCCTGTACACTGCACGCAGAGCCACCACAGTGCTCCACGGGTTCATTCCCTGCCTTAGGTAACATCATGTGCTTGCATTCTCTTAGTGCTCCAAAACGTCCACCTGCTTCTCACATGGAGCTAGGTACTGGCACAGAAAGGCCAGTGTGCTGCTTCTGTTGGAACATTCTGGTGTCACGCACTTCCTTACTCAGCTCTTGGTACCATCACAGTCTATCGACCTTGTAGTCTGACTCGAAAGCAGAAAACTTCCAGTCATGTCTTGCACAGCTAACTCTGCCACGACGTGAAGCTTTGCTCCTTGTCAAATGGAACACAAAAGGCGAAGAACGAAGCAGCAGAGCACCAGGCTTGTGCGTGCAGTGTTCAGATCCCTAGAGGAGTGTGGCTGCCACTCGCCTGTCTGCCAAATTCACGTTAGCAGTTGTATGGAGGAAGCTCATGGACAACTTACTTGTGCTGCTACCGAGTCCTCTTCCAGCCCTCTGTGGAAACTATTGTGCGTTCCTTTAGGCTCCGAGATGCAGGGTATCTATGGTAGATCGAGCAGGGAAGGGTAGTACAGAGTGCACCGGTGAGTTGGATGTGGCTTACGTGCGGCAAGGGGCAGGTGCAGCCCAGCACTGGATTTTACTTCTACAGCCTTTTCCCGTGGGCTGCTGGGCGTTTTCCACCGAGCTGCGAGAGCGAGCAAAGTCACGGGACATCTATCTCAGAAAGAAGATACCGTATGTAGTGCGTTGTGCACAATTTAAATGCTTCAAAAGAAGGGGATATTGTAGGAATGTCTTCTGCCCTGACACATCCATCTGTATGGGCTCTAGGTACTTGGACTCGACAACACTGAAGGGGTGTTAAAATGACTGCACTGCAAAAATCAGGTTTACACAGGAAATAAGGAAGGTCAGCAAATGCTTTCTGTGCTGGCACTC